CTGATCGAGTGAAGGCGAAAGCACCGTCAGATGCTGCAGAGAGGGAAGTAGGGTCCCCATCAGGGTCAACCGTCACGTTCGAACATTTTCAGGGTTTTTGCGACCCCCTTTTCTCAAGGGGGTCACCCCCTTATCTCAAGGGGGTCCAGTTGCGACCCCCTCTTAGGTAATGGAAGTGCCGAATGTGCTGACTAAATGTTAAGTGAAATATTTATTTCACTCATTTTACTTCAAAGACAGTGAACTAAAACCTTTTAAAGACAATGAACTTCCATGACATAGAACAAAACATTTGAATATTGAATTCTTCACTGGCATTTGAATTGAATTCTTTTCAAAAAATCATTGAATTTTTTTCAAAAATTCAATGATTTTTTGAAAAAAATTCAATTCAAATGTTCAGTAAAGAATTCAATATTCAAATGTTGTGTTCGTAAGTTCGTAAGTTCATTGTTTTCAAATGGACAATGAACTTCCATGAAATATGAACAGAACATTTGAATATTGAGATCTTCACTGAAATTTGAATTGAATTGTTTTCAAAAAATCATTGAATTTCTGAAAATTCAATATTTTTTTCATGTTGCCCAAAACTTCAAACTTCATGCTTCCGAAAGAATCACAAGAGCAGTTCAAGGGAGTAAATCAAAGAGAGTTACGTTCTCCATCAATGCATCTCCTAAGATGAGCCCCAAAGGAGCAAGAATCACAGGGCACTGGCTAATGAAAGCTATTTTTTATGGTTAGCCTCGCGAGATCAAAATTTTTGTTCGCTCACAATCACGCCAAAATGAGGATGAAAGCGAAATGTGTAAGACCAAATGGAGGAGTGTGGATGTTATCAGACTAGAGTAGCGAGGTGAAGCTGACAACTGCTGCTAAACCTGAAAAAGAAAGGATAAAGAAGGGGGGTGCGGGGAGGTGGGGGATTGGGGCGGGTCCCGGAGGAAACCGCCGAGAGAATGGCGGCGTGCGGGAGGTGTCGGGCAGGTCCGGCGCAACCTTTGGTTGGGAGCGCGTGCAGTGTATCCCCGGCAGCTGAAAATGGGGCGCGGTGTGTGTGGTGCGAGAAAAAGTTTTAGGAGAGTGTAACTTTCTTGAGACGTATTTGTTTCACTTATTGAGGTAGGTTTAAACTGTGCCTGAGGTGGCTTTACAGAAAATTGCAAGGATGACCTAACTCTCCCAAAAGTATTTCTGTCAGAAGCGGAAAACCCAAAATTCTGAGAAGGCGCACCTCCAACTTTGAGAGCTCATAAAATCTTTCGTATGCGACATCTTGGAAATTTGTGAAAAGTTTTAGAAACTTCAAATATTTCTCTAAAAATTATAAAAAGTTAAGTGATTGTCCCCTTTTTCAAAAATTTGCCCCGTTCGAACAGTTCCCGTGCAAAACCGAGTTTTTAAGCTTTCAGCGACTATAACTCACTTCATTTTGATTGCTGTGTTTCCCTCTTTCCATGGGGTGAAAGAGCAGGTTTTGCTCTTTCTAATAAGCCCTAAACCATTTTTCAAAGTTCATTTTTCGAGAAAATCCCACGTTCGAACATTTCGGGCGGTTTTGCCGAACACATTCTTTGAAATCGCGAGTTTTTGGGCTTTCAACGAGCATAACTCGCTTCATTTTGATTGCTGCGTTTCCCTCTTTCCATGGGGTGAAAGAGCAGAATTTGCTCTTTCTAACAAGCCCTAAACCATTTTTCAAAGTTCATTTTTCGAGAAAATCCCACGTTCGAACATTTGGATCCCATAGGTTTTTGAGCAGCACATGCGAGGTTTCGAGCTTTCAGCAATAATAACTTCCTTCAAAGAGCATGTTGGAAAGAGGCGAAGACATTTTTGAAGACCGCGAGGTTTCTTCTTTCTTATGTGTTTCACGATTTTGTGGAAGAACCGTCCGTAGAAAAGTAGGTTCCCGAAGAAGTTCAATTTCAGCCACAAGAAGTCAAACTTTTCATGGAGATGCATTCAACTGTTCTCTATTCCTCAAGGAAAACACCGTAATTTGCCCAAAACTGTCTCTCTGTGCATAATTAATCGAATCTAATGCGGTCTGCACAAACAATTCTTGCCCTCGGATACGCCACGCACGCGCCTGTGGCTGGCAGTCCTCGAAATTGCGACCCCCTTCCGACCAAAATGCGACCCCTTCGTTCGAACAGTTCGAACGACGGTTGACCCTGGTTCGAGACTGCGAACCAGAGCTTGGCACTGATGATGGAAGTGGTGTCCCTTCCCAATGCGATGCTGATAGCATGTTGACGGTTTCCATGCTCCTGTGCCGCAGCGCCATTCATTGAAGATGATCGCTCGAAAGTGCTCTTGTGGAATCGACATCATGATTAAAGTTAAAGAAGGCAACCCGGCTATATATACCTACTGCGGAGAAGTATGATCGACAGCGATAATCTATCACGTAGCAGATTCTAGGTATCGATCAATAAGCGAAAGTTCTGGAGCTTTCGAAAATGGTCGGAGGCAGAGTCAACCCTGCGTTGCGCAGTTTTCAACGGCCACGTTGCGCAGTTTCGCCCGATTAGACACGTTCTCTCGCGCGAACATTCACACTCGCATGCTCGAGCCGTCTGTGTCTCCGCCCATACAGCGTGCGTTGAGGATCTCTCAACGTGCCGTTGCGAACTGCGCAACGCAGGGTTGACTCTGCTCAGGACTTCTCCCGCAACAAGTATTCGATTGGCGTCAGCTGTTGCATCTCTGTCAGCTGGGATGATGCAAGGCCTTGAGAATACAAGTCTGAGATGCAGCAAGGGACAGCCATTACGTAGAGTGGGATTAAGGTATTAATTATGGCGCTCATGAAGCAAGTAGCTTTGGCTGATTACGAAGCGAATTGGCCTCTACTTCACGCGAAAGGGGAGTGTGTTGTTGGAGCAATTTGAATAGCATGCGTATAGTGTCCACCACAGTTTAGTGGCGCTTTGGGCGAGCGTGTGTTGGAAGAAACGGCCAACTGGAGTGACTCGAATGGAGCATGGATTGGCGTGTGGGACCAAACGTGATGCGGTGGCCATCCGTAAGCCAAAATCAACTGAGAAACAAGGGGCCCCGTTTACGTTTCCATGATGGATTTCTCTACTTCCTTCGCTACTGGCGTACCACGCTCCAGTCCCTCTGCCATAGAAGTATTGTATTCACCGTGATGAGAGCTTCCGATATCTCATGAGCTTTCGGTCACGCATTACATTCCAAAATTCCAACTTTCCAACATGCGCAATCGAGGATCAATCCGCTCCGCTCCGCTTACCGATTGGCGACTTTGTCTTCTATATTATATCTTGCGGCAAGTCCGGCATTCATAATCTCCAAATCGTGCACTCAAACATGGACGTTTTTGAAGAACAACGATTGGTTTGGGGGTGCCCGGCGACGTGGGGCTGAGCATGGGTCATTTGTGCAACGCACAGAAACAGTGTGTGTGTTTAATGTGCCACGATTTCAATCATACTGGTTCACGGGGCGACACTATTGAGTTAGGAAGTCGCGTACAGTTACACGACACAATTTGATCAGAGCATGTGTTCCCTGCGATTGGTATCTCATTCACACTTACAATTAGATCATCACTCGTGGTATGTTAATGAAAGGGCTTTATAATGCAATCCAGCCTAATAAGGACTACGCGGCAAAGTAGAGGTAAAGAAATATAACATTTTTCTGTGTAAAAATGCCAAGAGGGAAATCCGCAGTTAAGTTATGAATACATATAACAATGTTATGTGCCAATGTTATGTTATGCGCTATAACCGAGACCACTTCGTGCGGAAGAAAATCTGCGGCTACTTAGGTTCTCCACTTTCGTCACTAATTTCAGTCAAGTGCAATTTTGGAAATGTTTTACAGATGACTGCGATGGTATGAATAACGAACGCTTAAGAAACATGCGACTTCCAGAATCTAGATATGCGACTGCCAATCCGCTTTACTGTCATTTCTTTGAGATGCTTGTCTGTACAGTATGAGAAAGCAGCTTGGGATGCGACTGGATACTTGAATGCATTTGCAAGGTGATTGCTTTCAGGTTTATTCAACTTACGTTCTATTACCTGTCACTAATTGAGCGGGTTAAAATTTAAGCTAGGTTGGATTTGAGGCAGAACTTGTATCAATTGCTGTAAGAAGAAATACAACCGGCGCCGCGGTATTAGAGGCAGATAGGTTAGACATACTATATTTGAACTTGAACCCTTGCATTGAATAGATACAGAAAACGCTCTGTACAAAACCATAGTAAACAAACATAAGCTAATAAATAGGCAGAATTTAGAGCTAACGTGACGACTGTAAGGTCGAAATTTTACCGAATTCTTCGACATTTCTGATGCGATAAGTTCGGCTGGGATAGTGTTAATATAATAACAAAAATGTCCAGTTGTCTCTTTCGATCGCGGACTTCGAAATGGAGCTCAGCACCAGGGTGTTCATTCGCGGACCACGTTTTCAACGAAGAGTTCTAAAAAATTTAATCTGAGAGGAATTGCTGAGGATTTTCGAAACACTAATTTAACGAACGGAAAATCCTGAGTTTTCCAAATAATCCCTTGCAGCGCGAACCACACCATCACGAAATTGTATGCTTCGTATAACTTCGTATAGAATCGTTGCAGGAATCATCGCATCATTTTGGAGGTTCCAGCCTTTCAAATCGTTTGAGCATCGCATTTTGCAGGTTTCGTATGACAATGGCTCTAAAGTCAATTCATAACTCTGACAAATATAATATCTAATCGCCTCTGCTCTTAGTTCGTAAGGAAAGATCTCGAGCAAACCTATTTCATCCGGGCTGTCGTGGTGTCCGTTCACTGAGAAGTTTAGGTATGGTTAACTGAATTTACTGCGAAAGGCGGCGTGTCAGTTTGGATAGTCGGCTATTACAGATTGCGTGTGGCCTACTATGTTGGGGGGGGGGGCACGCGGCGGCGCCGGCATGTTCTGTTATATGTTCGGGAATACGTGGGCAGGGCGGAGTGTAGCAGCTAGTGGTTGGGGTGGTGGCAGGTACTTGGCCATTGCGTGAAAGCTTGGAATTGTTTGGTTTACTGTCTCGCCTCCGAGGAGGCCGGGTGGCGACTGCGCGCCGCCGCGTGACCGCCTCCCACCAGACTAAGTTAGACACCAGACAGTAACGTAGCAGGTACAAGACTGTGCGACATTTTGCATGAACGTAGCGTTTGGACGTTTCTATAAAATTCAGTATTACGCTCCAGATCTCTAGACGGCCGGCCGGCAAAAATCTGGTAAAAAAAGGAATTGTTAAGATTGGTAAGGACTGATGGGAATGCAGGGTACCGCCCACGACAGGACGAGAGAGTCCCAGCGGGTTTAGCCGATGTCTTCGAAATTGGTAACTGGTTCACCGTTCGTTCTACTGCAATAGATCCCAGAACGAAAAAATAAGCACAGGTTGAACTTTTACAGTTGACGGGACATGCCAGCGAAGCGGACGGAGTTAAATTTAGTAGCAGCGATAAAATAATGATAGTAATAGTAATATGGATCCGAGATGAGGTTAAAGGCCGGGAAAAATATGCCAGTGGTGAAAGGAGTGGATATGATCTTGGCGCCAAGAAGGGAGTTACAATCAAAATACCAGGGAACTAAGATTCTTTTCACGCCGAAGCTAGCTAGCATACGAAGCGAAATGAAATCAAATATTGTACTTATGACTGGTCAACAACTTTGAAGGTTTTCTTTGGGTCCCAAAATATATGAGATCGTTGATGATAAAGTGTAATCAGTCTATTAATTTGTCTCAATATACGTCAAGAGATTTTGCATGCTTCTTTTGTTTTGTACTTAGGTAAATTATTTGCTTTTTTCAGTGTTGAAATTTTCACTGCGTCCAAAGCTAACGCATGTTTAGAGGGGTTTGTTTAACGCATTCCACTTTTTTCGTAATGTTTCGACCACTGCCGGGGTGTTTCTACGCCACGGAAGTGACGTATATCCGACGATGGGCTAAACAAATGGGAGATGCTTGCTCAACGGACCAAACTATCTTTGAAGGCTTAATTCTAGAAAGCTGACATTTGGACCCAATTTCAAGAAACTCGGTCTACAATGAGTCGTAGGTGTTATCCCTAGCCCCAGCCACTACCCTCCTGCTCCTCCTGGGCAGCGAGCGTGTACATGAAAAAATATCATATTAATCTTCGGATGGCACGAGCAAGTAGAGCAGGCAACTATATCTCTTTCACAATAATGACTGAAAGTTTAATTCAATCCCACGATCAGGCTCTGACAGTGGGTTGATGGATAGATGACTGCCCACATTTTCGACTTCAAGTCAAAATTTTAGATTTGGACCAAATGTTGTTGAAAGGGGTGTTTCGACGCGCTGAACACGAATATCGCATCTGCTTGGCACGAAATTGCCTTACGCGTGCGCTACGGGTGTCAGAGGCGGTCACTTGCAAATGACGCGCACAGTGCTCGAAGCTCTTCGCCAGCTCTGTTTACTTGTGCTATAGGCAATCGCTGATAACTTAGCATGGATAAGAGTTCCTTAAACAACGTTCACAAGAAAAGCAAAAGTGAGAACTCGCCAACTCACGACCTCTTGTTCGTCGGCCGGGCCGCTGCCACTGCACTATCTCGCTTCATAACTACGTTCAGAGAATCGTTTCGCAGATTTGGAGAGCAGATTCGAGATCAGCGTCCAAAAACACATCTAGTGGTGTATGTCTCGTTACAAATGGCCACTTCGACCTGGTATCCTTCCCTTGTCAGATCAGCTCTTCCACTGTTGCACGGGTCCCTTTAGCTATGTCATCGTGGAGTAGGTGGACAGAAGTTCGTCTCGGTCGTTTTTCTTGAACAGCGTCCGCTAGTTTCTGGAGCTGACTGGCGTAAATGCTGCCGGTAGCGGTATGTCTTGCGGGAGCATCTCATAATACAACATTCCTCACGAATCCCAGAGGCAGCAAAGAAGACAGTTTTTGGGGTGAAGGTCCGATTTTGCTTGTGTCGGCGGGTCTTCTCCTCGAGGGAGCCACACGGCACTGTGCTTGTTAGAATCGTAGAGGACCCAACTCTCATCTCTCGTAATCATGCCTTCCAAAAACTCCTTTCGGTGCGGACAAAGAAGGAGAAACTGACAAATGGGTACCCGCCTGAACCGCGTGCTATCGGTCAAGACATGAGGGATCCATCGAGTCGGCACTTTCCTGTGGCGAGGGCGTGGAGGGGACCGAGGACTGTGGGATGGGTGCACCCGAGTCTTATCACAAGGCTGCGGGTGCTAACCTCCGGATCCTCTTCGACAGCGCCGAGAACGGTGGAGTCTTCCACTGTTTGGGGGCTTCCCAACCTTGTCTTGTCTTCGGAAGCCGTGTCTCCTCCTTCGAAGCCTGCGAACCAGAGCTTGGCACTGATGATGGAAGTGGTGTCCCTTCCCAATGCGATGCTGATAATGTTGACGGTTTCCACTGCTCCTGTGCCGCAGCGCCATTCATTGAAGATGATCGCTCGAAAGTGCTCTTGTGGAATCGACATCATGATTAAAGTTAAAGAAGGCAACCCGGCTATATATACCTACTGCGGAGAAGTATGATCGACAGCGATAATCTATCACGTAGCAGATTCTAGGTATCGATCAATAAGCGAAAGTTCTGGAGCTTTCGAAAAATCGGCTCAGGACCAGGGTCAACCCTGCGTTGCGCAGTTTTCAACGGCCACGTTGCGCAGTTTCGCCCGATTAGACACGTTCTCTCGCGCGAACATTCACACTCGCATGCTCGAGCCGTCTGTGTCTCCGCCCATACAGCGTGCGTTGAGGATCTCTCAACGTGCCGTTGCGAACTGCGCAACGCAGGGTTGACTCTGCTTCAGGACATTCTTACCATTCCCAAGTATTTTCGCATGCGAGCAGCTGTTGCCATCCTGTCAGCTAGCGACTGATGCAAGCCTTGAGAATACAAGATCTGAATGCAAGTAAAAGTACCATTACGAATATAAGGAGTGCATTTAAGTAGTACTATATACTATATGCGCCTACATGAAGCAGTAGCTTGGCTGATACGGAAGCGAAATGTACCTCTACCTTCACGTCGAAAGGTGAGCTGGTTGCTGAGCAGCAATTGAAAATAGCCATGCCCATAAGTGCTCCACCCACACGTTTAGTTGGCGATTTGGGCGAGCTGTGTTGCAAGAAACGGCACAACTGGAGTGACTCGAATGGAGCATGGATTGGCGTGTGGGGACAAACTATGCGGGCGTGCCATCCGAGCCAAAATCAATCGTGAAACAAGGGTCCGTCTTGTTTTCACATGATGGAATTTCTCTACTTTTCGCTACGCGTCTACGCTCGCCATGTCCCTTCGCCATTAAACTATTGTACGCACTACTCCTGATACGGACTCCGCTTATCTCAATTTAGCTTCGCCCTCATTACATTCACATACTAACTTCCAAATGCGCAAATCGAGATCAAAGTCCGCATTCGCTCCGCTTACACGATTCGACTCCTATATCCCATAGTCTTGCGGCAAGTCAGAATTCACTACATCCATCCATATCGTGCACTCAAACACGGAAGATTATGAAGCCCAACCAGACTTGTGGTGCACGTGCTAGATGACCAAGCAACGGTATACCTAGTATCATTTCATACTGGTTCCACGGCAGCCCACATAAGAAGTTTAGGCAAGCTCGCGCCTACACAGTCTCACCGTACGTCAATTTATCAGAAGCACTGTGTTTCCCTGCAGAATTGGATCTCATCTCACACTTACAATTAGATCATCACTCGTGGTATGTTAATGAAAGGGCTTTATAATGCAATCCAGCCTAATAAGGACTACGTGGCAAAGTAGAGGTAAAGAAATATAACATTTTTTCTGTGTAAAAATGCCAAGAGGGAAATCCGCAGTTAAGATATGAATACATATAACAATGTTATGTGCCAATGTTATGTTATGCGCTATAACCGAGACCACTCCGTGCGGAAGAAAATCTGCGGCTACTTAGGTTCTCCACTTTCGTCACTAATTTCAGTCAAGTGCAATTTTGGAAATGTTTTACATATGACTGCGATGTATTGAATAAACGAACGATTATAGAAACATGACGACTTACCAGAACTAGATAATGCGACTGCCAATCCATTACTTACATTATCTTTGATAGATGCTTGTTGTACAGTAAATGACGAAAGCAGCTTATGCGACTGATCTGAACTGCATTTGCAAGGTGATCTGTCCAGGTAATTCAACTTACGATCTTAATCACCATGTTCATATTGAGCGGTAAAAATTAAGCATAGGTTAGGATTTGGGCAAACTTGATCAATTGCTGAACAGAAGAAAAATATCACAATCGGCCGCGCGGTATTAGAGGCAGATAGAGTAGACATATATTTTGAACTTGAACCCTTGTATTGAATAGATACAGAAAACCCTCTGTACAAAACCATAGTAAACAAACATAAGTGAATAGATGGGCAGAATTTAGAGCTAACATGACGACTTAAATCGAAATCTTACCGACATTCCTTCCGACATTTACTATAGCAGATAAGTTCGGCTGGGATAGTGTTAATATAATAACAAAAATGTCCAGTTGTCTCTTTCGATCGCGGACTTCGAAATGGAGCTCAGCACCAGGGTGTTCATTCGCGGACCACGTTTTCAACGAAGAGTTCTAAAATTTAATCTGAGAGGAATTGCTGAGGATTTTCGAAACACTAATTTAACGAACGGAAAATCCTGAGTTTTCCAAATAATCCCTTGCAGCGCGAACCACACCATCACGAAACTGTATGCTCGCATCCGCCTCGTCATCAGAAATCGTTGAGGAATCATCGGCATCGTTGGAGGTCCCAGCCTTCACATCTTGAGCATCAACTTTTGCAGGTTTCGGTGCACAAGGGCCTCTAAAAAGTACATAACATAACCTCTGAAAAATATAATATATAATCGCTTGTCTGCTGTTAGTTCGTAGGAAAGAATCTGGAAACGCTATTCAATCCGGCTGTGTGCGTGTTCCCGTCATGGAATTTAGTATTAACTGAAAATATACCGGGAAAGGCGGGGTCAAGTTTGGGATATGTGGCATATACCAGAATGTACGTAGCATGTACGAGCTAGGCGAAATTCTAACTGAACGTAGCGTTTGACGTTTACTATAAAAATTCAGGTATTCGTCCAAAGACATTCTAGCGGACAGGGCAAAAATCTGTAAAAAAAAAGGAATGTCTAAGATTGGTAGGCATAGCTGGAATGACTGGGATACCGCCCACGACAGGAGCCGAGAGGAGCATCCCCTCAGCCGGGTAGTCGAGTCCTTCGAAATTGGTAACTGGTCGTTCGTTCTACTGCAATAGATCCCAGAACGAAAAAATAAGCACAGGTTGAACTTTTACAGTTGACGGGACATGCCAGCGAAGCGGACGGAGTTAAATTTAGTAGCAGCGATAAAATAATGATAGTAATAGTAATATGGTTCCGAGATAGGTTAAAGGACGGGAAAAATATGCCAGTGGTGAAAAGAGTGGATATGATCTTGGCGCCAAGAAGGGAGTTACAATCAAAATACCAGGGAACTAAGATTCTTTTCACTGAAGCTAGCTAGCATACGAAGCGAAACGAAATCAAATATTGTACTTATGACTGGTCAACAACTATATGAAGGTTTTCTTTGGGTCCCAAAACTCATGCAGATAAGTTTGGATAACAAATGTCCAAACAAGTCTAACTAATTGTCTCAATCATACCGTTAAAGAGATTTGCGAGTATCCGTTGTAAGCTTTTTCCGGATTAACGTCGCCATTAATCCGGAAAAGTAAACCCAAAACGATTAACGGATTAACGTCGCCGTGAGGGCGGAAGTGGTGTAGTGGCAAGTGGCACGCTTACCACGCGAGCGGTCCGGGATCAAATCCTGGGTCGTGAGTCGCCCGGGCCAACCAAGCCTTCCATCCCTCCGGGGTCGGTTAATTGGTACCAGACTTGTCTGGGAGGATAAAAACACTGACTTGTACATCGGCTGGCCCCGCAAGTCATTGTATAGGCCACATCGCATTCAAACGCCACTACGAATGTACAAATGGAAGTAGAATGCGTGCCGCATCCCAAAAGGGATTGATCAACGGCAAATGCTTTATTTTCCAATGCCAACATTTCCACTCTGCCATCTAACGTCACCCACTAACATTTCTTTTAACCCATTGCGGACCGCCGTTATAATTGCACCTCCGTAGGTTTTTGTCATCTGTTTTATCAGTGGCCAATGACCTATCGAAAATTTAACCAGTATGCCAAATAAGTGATATATCCTGTGTCCAAAAAAGCAAACCAATGAATTGTAACTTAACAAAATGCTGAATTGATTACCACATTGACGACAACACGGAAGACATATCCCGCGCATTGCAGGCCATGTCGGACCGTGCGGGATATATATCCCCCGCACCCATTACACTCATTTTTTTCGCGCACGCCTGATTCTTTTGAAGTTTTTCTGTATTTATTCCATGGAAGAGACCTTGACGTAGCTACAAACATAGTGGCCCATAGAATGGTCACGTATACTTTAATTTAGAGGAGGATTTCTAAACCATACGAAATCTTCAGTTAATTTTTCGTTTACTTTTTCTTTTTATGAATGTGAAGATTTAAATAGTAGAAGTAAATACAGAGGATTTTGGGGATGACAATATATGTGTTTCCATTGAAACAAAGTAAAATTGCTTTCAAAGTTCATTGCGGCTGCCCTAATTTTGCTTTTTCTATTGTCATTTCACCTCTTTCGATTGGAATTCTATTACTGTGCCCATGGCTAGCTTCTGCTCACAGGTATTTACTGATCTGGTTTCAAGCATTATTCATGGATCCTATCCTGTGGTTGGAGAGACAGGGTTGCGCCATAGGACTAATCATACTCTGCGCTCCCAAACTCCAGACAGTGTAACCCTTCAGAGAAAATAGGATCTCAACAGGTGAGGGTAGCTACAACATCACGCGCTCAATAGCGGGTCCTATGACGCACCCTGTCTCCCCAAGGTGAGGATAGAATCAACGGTGGGGGTCGCGTCCCCTGGGAAAAGGATGCCGCTCCTGGCTCACAAAAGCGCGGCGGTCCCACTCGGCCAAAAAGCCAAAACTCGCGTTGTCAACGTGCTAATCAGGGTCGACGGACTACTTGAACTCGGCCTTTAAGCCGCCTCAATCGATGCTCTCGTCTGCGCTCTCTCGCCTTATCAGCGGCTCATGACCACTGTGATCTCACACATTCAAACTTTTGCCACACTGTAATTGGCTCACCCACCTCCCTCCCCCTACAAGGCTTAGTCCTAGGGCTCTCACCTCCTTCCTTGGGATTTGGAGCCGAGCCAGGCGCCGTTCTCTGATTGTCTGTGCTCTCCGCCATTCGTGGCAGGACCATAGAGGAAGTTCAAGTAAACCGTAAAGCGCTAATCAGTGTGTCAAGTCTGTAATTTTTCTTCTTCCCCTGGCTCTCTGGAGGCACACTAATTAAACAAACCATCCTTTTTGTTTTTGTGTGACTTTGCTTAGGTAAGATTTCCGTTGATAATTAGACTGCTTTACGCCATACATGAAAAAGTGACTGGTACCGCGAATTTTTCAAGGCGCACATTCAACACCGAGTACATGACTGCTAATGATTGCGTTCCACAATTCGTGAAATATAATTTCAAGGTATTTCAAGAGCAACGCACATTTCCATGAAGAGTCGGTCTCCACTCACTAGGCCTGCTTTTTTGAGGGTGACAGAATCGGCGTCGTCCAGCAGTTGTTCGCCGAGTGAAAGCTTCAATGACCTCGGATCACAGCTGCAAAAGTTAACAACTTGGCTTCGATACGATTCACAAAAAATTCCTAATCTCAATAGCTCGACATACTAGACCCACTCACGAGTTTCCAAGATGTGATGAGATTTTTGAGCGAAGTTCTCCTATTGTTGCATTAGCTTCAATCTCGACTTGGAATACTGTTCCATCCGTTCTATTCTTTATGCTCACCTTCATCTGTGGAAAGGATCACATTGCCCGACCTCCCAATTAAACAGTTCTAGAGATACTGGATGAAACCGAACTAGTTTTTCAGATTCATACAAGAGTCTCAAATTTCATTAAAATCAACAAGATGAAACATATGCAACAAATAACAAACAAATAGCAACATAGTCCGAACGCTCTTCCAAGTAACTTAAATAGAAACATTGAACTAAATCTTGAGTTCTAAATCATCATTCTCCTTCTTCAACAACCTTTTTATCAGTTGACTCCATCCTTGCATCATCTTCCGAGGCGCACTGGGCCTCTTTTGTTCCATCCTCTAATGCAGATTCAACTACGCCGTTGCCACCATTTTGACTATTGGACCAATCATTCTTAGCAGTTTCCGCGTGACTCTAGAACGGCAATGAATAAAAAACTCGAATCTGATTTCTATGCACAAAACACCCATTCGAAATTCTAAATGGTACTTCATCCTCGATAGGTGCCCGGAATTCCGGTTCCCTATAAACGCTCCACACCTTCCGCATCTCTGTCTTTCACTTGTGAAGTCAACGCTCCGTACAGTGAATACGTATACATAGAAAATGTCGCCTTACATATTATAGCAGTAGGTGCTTTCGCACCCTTCTCTCACCCTTCTCTACCTGCTTCTCTCCGCTTGGGTAAATACTGCATGTCTCGTCAAGGATATGTTCTGCGAATCACATCAATGTCCAGCTACCAAACCTCACCTTCATCGAATTCTTTCCCATATCGGTTCCTGTAATCTGTCGCAGGGCTACAGTGCGTAACAGCCTGAGGGCAGACTAAATTGTACTTGAAGTGCCATAAAGTCTCCAACCATTTCATCTTCGCCGATTGCTCGCGTTGTTATCCCGTCATGAAACAGCTCTATATTATCACTTCACAATGCATTCACCTTAATCGAGCATTAAAAATACAAAATGCCTACTTGCAGGTATGCCCTGGGATTGGAATATCGTATAAACCTCCACTTAACATCAATCGGACGTATCAACATAGGTCTTGCAGTTTCTCCAAGAGAGAATCGACTAAAAATTCGTTTAGTTTCGACTGGTTAGATTCATAAAAACGATGTGATCTGATTTATTACACGTTTGCTCCTACGGTAATTTATTGAATCAAATCAAATCGTTTGATAACGACGTGCAACAACTAACTCCTCCAAGGTGGAAAATGAAGAATTCGATAAACCATCCTCAGTCAGCATTTCTTCATACCACTGTGACACTGCAAATTTAAATAAGAAGTTACATGTAAAGGAAAAGCAACGATATGAAAACTTCAATTAAGTGCTTCTCACCGTAATTTTTTTCGAAATTCACGGCCTCTCCAGGAAGCGGTATATAAATTTCGAATGGGGAGGCTTCCTTCGAGAGTTTTTTCCCATCTTGTCCCACGTCGTCTTGATGTACTACAGCACCATGTTCTGATATCCGACGGGACACAACCTGTTTCAGATTTGCTCAATGTATGCTCGATAAAGTAAAGTGGAAATAATTACAAATGGACTAACCTTATTCCACAACAGACTTTGATATGCATGTACATACAAACTTCTGAAGATTGATGGGCAGTGCTTCAGTTATACACTAAAGAGTTCGTATTACTCAAGAACGATAGAAAATTACTTTTCAAGAGAACAAGAATTCTGTGATGCAGTGAGTAGGATGTGTTGGCAAAACCTTCCATAACTGCGCATCGCCAGACGTGAATAAGACTCCGAGGTTACGAAAGACTTAACCAAAATTTTCACCATTGAAGAATGATGAAAAGGAGACTGATCCCCAAGTAAAACATGTAAAGCATATAGGGATTTATTACGGTCATGCGAGAGTGTAGGAGGATTATCTAATGGTGCAATCACTATTCGAGATAGACCTATCGTGGATGGTGAATCCCTTTTGAGAGTGCTGCTGCCTTCCAGGATTGGGTTTAGAAAATAATCAACTATTCTAACCTTGCACAAACAATGTAAATCACACATTTGAAACGAAATGAGTAAAATGTCTAAGAAAATTCCTGCGGAAGTCAGGAGTACGCCATCGTAAAGAAAACAACCCATTACCGATCAATAGGCATTGATGCGTGCCCGCGTTTCTATTGAGATGTCTGCATCTACCTTTTCCCTCAACAGCGCTAACAATGGGGCGACAAGAACATTCCTAGTTTAGGATCTTTTTGCGCTCCAACTTTAACTCCTTTAAGAGTCATGCCGCGCCAAGGCACTATCGCTCTTCTCGTGTTACTACCTCTTCAACTAATTCTTTCACTCGTTCTGCTGTGTTCTGCTAGTTATTGATAAATTGTTCTATTAATCACTCAGAGCGCAAGGAGTTATAAAGAGTCTCGTACACCACATTCCACTGGAAATTGCATTAATGACGTAAGCAGAAATAACGAAAAAAACTTACAGGGTTAAAGCAAACCGGTCAAAGGGCAAGAGCAACATTACGCAGAAGGCAGCAGTACGATTGTGGATGATGAAAAAATAGTGCGAAGGGGACTCACTATCAGCTATTGTCGTCTGTCATCTTACAATCAATGTTGCACATAAATTAAACAAAGAATGAAAAGGAAGCATTAGCGTTTTGCGGTTACGACAAAATTTCCTGCGG